CTTTACTTCTGGCATTTAATGCATAAGGGTACAATAATAGTACTATGGAAAAAGTATAATATAAGTGTCATTCACATCAGAAAAATAAGCACTTTATCAAACAAATTCATGTCCATAAATTATAATAAAAGTGTCATTCTTATTAGCCATTAAGTGCAATATAAGCAGTTTATAATACAAATTCATGTTTATGAATTAAACAACGCACCAGGACCCGGTTGTATCAACGGTTCATTAAATTTAATGAATCATTAAGCCTAATGATTCATTAAATTCTTAATGATGCATTAGTTAATAAAGTCATTAAAATGTGTTGTACAAAACCTTCATTAGAGTGTTATTACTTAATGAATCATTAAATATTTAAGAATTCATTAAAGGTCTATTAACATTAAAAGATATCCCGTAATGCATTGCGTTACCACTTCCGTGGGCGTTTCCTTTGTTTACTAATAACCTATAATAAAACTAGTTTAAAAATCCGCGAAATTAGAACTCATTTTAATTATGACGCAAAAATTAAAAATTACGTCATCTAACCCATTCCGAGCGTCTAAAAGGATATATCATAAAGAAACGTCATTTCATCGAAAATCAAAAACTCCTGCTGCACAATGACTGATGGAATTCAATTTAAAAACAATAGAAATCGGGGGAAAAATTTCGATTCAAGTGAAATTCAACTTTTAGCTGATCTAGTGGAGAGAAATGTTGACATCATTAATAGCAAACTCACAAACAGCGTTACCAACGAGAAAAAGAAAAAAGTTTGGGACAACATCACTGAGCAAATTAATGCCTTAGGGGTTTCCTGTCGCACAACTAAAGAAATTAAAACCAAATGGACGAATATGCACCAGACGGCAAAAAAGGAATTTAGCAACAACAAACTTTCACAGAGGCGAACGGGAGGAGGACCCTGCGCCAAACCTTTGTCGACGGTCAGCGAAAAAATTATCGACACCAAGAACTTGAAGAAAACTTCCACTGGCATAAAATCTCAAGGCGATCAAAATCTATTTTTTTTAAAGAAAAAAGGAATTTGTTTGTAGACTCATTCTATAAATCGCGTTTATGGTCTGCAAACTGCATGGATTCATGTTCACTTTTCTCCGATAATATCGAAAATATACTGTATGTGTAGTATAGATATTATGTTAGAAAAACTATTCTCACGCAACAGATAAAAAATTTATAGTGTTCAATATATCAGCCTACATTATGTCTTTATTTGCACCCCCCCCCCCCGAATAAATGAATTTAATTGAAATTATTTTTTTCTCAAGTGTTTCTAGTAAAATACAAGAAGTATCATGTATGTAGGGAGAGGGCTAAAATACGCTTTGCCTGCTGTCCAATCCCATTCACTTATGTGAATAAAATTTTGTATAAATTAAAAAAAAAATGTATGTAGCATAATTTTTCATCAAAAACTAGGGGTGGTGATTACAGAAAATTACTTACAAGCAAAATTAAAAAAGGCAATCTACGTAAATATATTTCGTGTTGATGCAATGATGGGTAGAAATTAGATTGTCATGTGGAAGGGGATTCTTGGCACCTATATGCCTTGATAAGTGAAGGGGAATAACTCGTATTTAGAATCAATCAAGAATTTTGTCGTCACGGTTCAGCTGTTTATAATCAAACAAAAAAAATTAAAACATTATTAGAAATCCACTTCAGGTATAGAAATATGTATAATTATTATGAATTATTCCTGGTTCATTATTCTTGGGTTATCTATGGGTAAATAATGTCAGGTGACGCAATATGTGACGTAATCAACCAAACTGAAACAAGGAAATGGGGGTATATATGGTGGTGTTCTTGACTATTTTCATCTGGACAATACATTGTATGACAAAGTAAGTTTTTTAACCAGTTATGTACCTGTAATTCTGTTGATAGTGCCTTCGACCTTCTCGTTCTGTGGCCGATAATAGGATCAAGAAGCTCTACTATTTGTTTAATTGAGTCTTTTCCAAAGCGATATCGCCTACGGATGTCCTCGTCAGTCATGTTTTCTACAGAGAAACGTTCTCTAAACACTCTATCAGCCCTCCTTCTTCCCAACTGGCCAAACATTACGTTGGCCGCCATAGTTAATGAACGTTTAAAGAAGCCCTCTTGGGTTCATTAAAATTAGAGAAGTTAATGAGGCTTTAATGCACCGATTCGTTCATTAAAAAATTGATACAACGGAATTTAATAACACATTAAAAATGATCAGTTTAATGAAGCTTTAATCATTCATTAAATATTGATACAACCGGATCCAGGAAATAAAGCACTGATTAAGAGATTCATTGTACTTTAGACAGCCTTCAAGTAATTATTATAATACGTATACAGGTTTTCCATTCATTGTATCCACTTTTTTCTTAGAAAGGGTTTTATTTCTTTAATCAAGTCATCCTCAATATAATATATAATATAATTTGTTTTCTTCTCATTGCAGGGGGAGATTGATCTCTTTGAAAAGTTTGGAATGCTTAACCACAAAATGTCCAGTCTGTTTAGATAAATACTGAAGTATAGCTAACGGAAAATCTTCAGGAAAAACTAACATCATTCATTTTTTGTCACTTTGAGTCTCTCAAACTTTTTTTAAAAGTTTTGTATGTATTTGTATTGAATTTCTTACATACTTACATGCTTTTTTGAACAATTTCCCAGATCTTAAAACTATGTAACTTTTTTGCATGAAAAACAAAATTTTTTGATACAAATTATTGAATATTTACATTTCCTTGCATAATCCATGAACTACTTAATTCATATTTACATTTTTACTTTGAATAAACTTTTTTGTCGTGTTGATTATTTTCTCTTGTTTCTCCAGAAAATTTCTTTGACATTTACTAGAATATCCAAAAGTGCAAATCAAATTAAGTACAGGATAAAAGGATTAAATTGAGATTTTCTTTAGGTTTTGCTTTGATTTTATTACTGATCACGACAAGGAGCATGATAATGACAAGGAGCACAAGGCGGGTATGACCGGGTGGCAGGGGATGCTCACTCCTACATGGCACCTAATCTCCCTCTCATGTTTTAAAGACCAATTTTCCCTGTGTCTTAGCTCTAGTAGGTCACCAAAAACTTCTTATTTTTCTATTTGGTTAGATTACACTGCAAATGATTTTTCTAGGAAAAAAAACTAATATCTTTATTGAACCAAAAATTGTAGAGTTGTTAAATTTTAATCTTAGTCGTAAGATTTTTTTTTGTGATAAGGGCCGCAGGCTTTTTGATATCATTGACAGCTGTTTTTTTTTTTCAATAAAATGGAACTCGTAAATTTACGTACCTTGTCATTTGTTAAATTTTTGTAAACACAAGTACTCTGAAGCATATATTTGAAAAATGCTTGGGTTTCTGATTGACAATATCTATTGAAATTCACATGGATATCAATGAGCAGACTATTTTTGTATTCATATGATCTTATCGTAAAAAGAATTAAAATACTTGCTGTGTCCTTGAACTCGACATACACTGTAGATATATCGACGACGTATTGGTAGTGAATGGTCGCTTACATTCTAATGTCGACATGCCCCGTTGAGCTTAAAATAAAAGATGCCACAGAGTCCAACACATCTGTATATTACTTGAAAAAACGTTAATGGTAATCTAACAACAATGCTTTATTATAAACACATGATGACTTGAACTTTTCAATCGTCAATTTCCCTTACTTATGCAGCAATATACCCTTATCACCTGCATAGGGGGTTAATATCTCTCGGTTGATTCGATACGCAAGAGCATGCTCTACGTAGGAAATATCTAGAACGAGTCTCGTTTAAAGTTTTACTTTTGCAACTTCTTTGATCGTTACAATGGTCTTCGACTTGTCAGTAAATACAATCTATTGTTAAATCGAATACTGACAGAAGGTTTTGTAGTTATTGTTAGACCATTGTTGGATTTTCCCCGTTATTTCCCGATCATGACAAGAAGCACACGACAAGAAGGGATGCTCATTCCTCCACGGCACCTGATGCCAACTGTGATGTTTTAGACGTCTGTGTCTCTCCTGCTCCTGATTTGTATTGTTTGGCTATGAATACTCTTCGATATCTCCATATATTTATATCAAATAAACAAGTATTAGCGAGTACTTCGTTTAACGCGCGGTCGGAGTGTAGCGCCACGTTGAAATACGATTTTTATACAGTAATGTTATAAATAATACCGACAGTATTGTGCGCACACATGTTCAAGAAATTAAATGCACCATTTATAAATGCTTCCAAAATTGAAATATTGCTTTGGAAGGGTTTTTATCTTTTTTAGTTCCGCACAGCAAGTTAAATTATGTCTTTTTAAAATGATGTAAGATTTCTATAATTATTTGTGCATCAGCTGGTGCATAAACATGTTTGTAAATTGTAAATTCGGTACACCATAACTTTTTATATGTCCCCAAAAAACTGCAATAATACTTCAAAGAAAATTACGTTGGGTACTGGAGACGAAAGACTAGGAGTTGTGAGGGGCTATTGGAGTAGAGAGTCAAAAAGGGAGTGATTTTATTAATGAAGGGAATTTAAGGGAGAGGGGGGGGGGTCTTCACATGTATACATGTACAGGCAGACATTTATTCCACCCCCTCTCTCCGTATCCTTGAACGACAGTATGGCCAAAGAGAAGAAAAACCTTTCTTACAAGGTCATATCTACAAAAAACTCGATAAGGAATTTCCAAATACCTTGTGACCGGGTATGCTAAATAAAGAGGTAACGAACACAGCTGTGCAAGTCGCGATCGGATTGATAGCAGAATGAAGTCCATAATCCTGACAATTCTGACCGTTACCTGGTTTTGTCATTTGATACAAGGATGCTGTACCCCCGAACAATGGAGCGGGAATATGGATTTTCTGGTTGGCACTAATACTAACGGGAAAGGAGGTTTAGAGGTGGTAAGTAAATGTAGCCGTTCTAGATATTGAACCCCGGCATTTTTCTACCAGGCTATATATATGCTGGGCTTTATTAAGATTTTATTGGTACAACACAGCTACAATAATTAGAAATGAAATGAAAAAGAAAATTTATGGCCAATGATTATAGTCTGATAATTTGTCTAATAAGCAAAGCAGACATACACGAGGAAATAAACAAAGGGTTTATTAAAAATAATGTAGAATACACGGGGTCATAAAGAGTTCAATATTAAATGTCAGATTTGATCTCTTGTCTTTTATTTATATTTTATTAATTTGTGTTTATCAACATTGCCCACTGAAGTTGTTTTCATGAAGATTCCATAATCATCATGGACGGATCTTGAAGGGGCGGGAAATTGGAATTTCAGTGCTCCACAGAAATAGATACGAGTGTATTGAGATTTTTTTGTATTAAAGATGTTTAATTTTTATGCCATTCCTATACTTAATATTCATTCATAACATTTCTATTATTTAGATGAATTTTTTTTCACAAAAACTTTTACAAAAAATCCCCTTATTCAAAATCAGCAATAATATTTATGAAAGTAAACATCCAGGAAACTAACAATAAAGTATACTGAATTATCACTGCAATGACTGTGACATCAAAACTTCTAATTTTTCATCGAAAAAAGAATTAATTTCTTTTAATGCTTTCTTTAAGTCAAATTATTAATATGTATCTTTAATCATCCTTTTTCCTTTGGAGTCTCCATATGAGTGAAAAATTCTCAAAAGGGACGTTAAACAATATATACAGTCAATGAATCATTCAATCAAATCCTTTGTTTTAGCTGAATAGCTGATTTTTTTATTCAGCTTATTTTACTTTTTTTTTAAAAGCTGGTGTTTTTATGTACCCCCGACTTTATTTGGCATGGATGAAAAGAAAATATTCAATGACAAAGGCTTTTTTTCCTATTAATTTATATGTTTTATGTGAATTAGTTAAACAACAATATTTGAAAAGAACTTTGAAAAAAAATACTAGGAAATTTACCTTTATACGACTCTTCTTTAAGATTTCATCTTGTTCTATGTAAAAATATTTTCCTCGCTCTCTGATTTTGAAAGTGGAATAATACGGTACATGTATATTCTCACATTTTCGGTAGGACAAAGGCACAAAAACACCTAAATATTTAATTTATGATTTAAATTACCTTATTTCTTATCCATCTACTCTGAAACTCTTTAAGAAGCACAACTGTAAAACATAATTAGAATTAGAAAGACCAGTAAAAAAAAAAACAGTCAGCATTTCAGTTTGTACCTTGATGAAATATTTATTATAATTTACTTTTATTAATTGTAGGGGAAAGTCAAGCTTTTCTATGATGCCAAGAACACAAAAATAGCCAGTTTCTCAGAGAGAGTTGTAAATGGTAAAGTCTTCAAAGGTGTAATGGTTCAGAATTTTGAGGAAGTAAGTTTCTGATACTTTATTCAATATATATATGTATTTTGTCAAATTTGATGTAGTACACGTTACCAGAGGATGATCATCTTAATATTTTTTTTATTTTACCAGGGAGTTCAATACACTGTCGTGAACGGTGTCTGCAATACGACCAGACTATCCAGAAAAGGATTTACGCCCGCCTGTATACCTAGTAAGCTTTCTTCTATTTAATGGAATGAGATAAATCAGTGCATTTATTGACTCGTATAGCGATATTTTTTTCACTTGGTTACTAACTTGTAATAAAAGTCTACACAGGACCTGTCCTATATCTCGCTCGTATTTGGATATTTTACTGAAAATAGATGAGAAAGACCAACTTACAACATTGTGTGACAAACGTGATGATTTCAGGTTTTCCGTCTTCAACTTTCCTATCCTCTATCACCTGTGTTTTGGGTCTGTGTCTCCCTTTACGTTAATTCAGTACTCAAAAGCATTCTCAAACGACAGTCATTTTTGTAAACCAGGCATACTTTGACAGATAAGCTGATGTACATATATTATAGAGATTATACAAACATATCAAAACATTCTTTAAAAATGTGATTTTTATAATGACCTTCTAAGCAAATATTCATTGGTTCGTATTTTGCTTGACATTTTTCATTCTAATTTTGTGTTTCCAGCCAATACGGAGGTTATCATTATATAAATGGTGCCTGTTTTGGAGGGTAACATTTGAAATTGACACCCCAAGGAAAACCATTGTCAACCGACGCGTCAGCGGAGGTTGACAATGGTTTTCCGTGGGGTGTCAATTTCAAATGTTACCCTCCAAAACAGGCACCATTTATTTTATTATACTGAATGTCTTATTGATTAAGGACGTCAGCAAAAAAAAAAAACGTCGATCGTCTTTACGTTCATGAATAGAAAGATTTCACACTCACCGGTTCACTAATCTCCTTATTGTTTGTTTGATACTCGAATTAGGGTCATTTATCATATAAAGCTTCGTTATTTCTGGCTCGCAAGCATGTTTCCTACATTCGCAAGAACGTATCGTCTGTCGTTTGTTGTTTTCAAGTAAGCTTTATCGGACGCAAGCTTTTATTCACGTCAAGTTAATTCCGGTTCTTTCAAACGCGCAACTGACGTTTTGAGAATTCTACGGTGAACCGTACGCGCATAATTTCCACGCATGTGGCATTACCGTTGTGTTACCCGTTGTCACGTGTGTTGCTAAGGCTCAGGGTAATCGAACGGATTGTTAACTGCGTCTAAACCAATCAGATTTTAGTATTTAACATGAAAGTATAATAACTGAACAGATTAAATTCTGCACTTCCTGACAATATTTGTATATTAAAAGAAATAATTATAAAGCCTTGCTGTTGTTTAGGAGTCTTTAAAATTGTTTTCCTGATATATTTCTATGTTTAAGTAGTTAGACCATCAAAGAGACCAAGTCATGCTATGTAAATCTTCTCAAGAACAGCTAGATCATGATTTCTTGTTTCCGATATGCAATCATTCTTACCCAGCACAGATCCAAGCTCTTACTAATACGATCCTAGAGAATGTGATAGGGGCACA